GTGTGGACTTCAGCTCACCGGCAGCTCCCCCAGGAACCCCCAGGCCCAAAGCCCCCACTGTCGATCCTCAGACCTCCTGCCGCTGGCCCTGCTGAGTCCCACACCTGGGCCCCTGACCCTTACCCAGGTCAATGTCGGGTGAAGCTCTCCGCGGTGATGGCATCTGGCGTGTGTTTTGTCAATGTTCTCCAGGCACAGGCTGGCCAGCTGTGGTTCATCGAAGAGTCGCGCCTGGCAAGAGACATCAATGGGGGCGTGGGGGGACATCAGCACTCCAGCCTCGGCAAATCCCCAATGCGGAGCTGGCTCAAATGCAGCCCTGACCGCACGGGCCTTCCTGCTGTAATAGAGCCACCGGGTCTCTGTGCGCCACCAGGCCAGCCTCTGCCGTGGGCCCAGAGACCCCCGCGACTGCTGGAGTGCGGGGCGGGAGAGTTGGGGAGTTCCCTCAGAACCTCAGGAGGCCAAGGAAGTGAAGAAAAAGATGCTCAGGTCCCTGTCGGCAGGCCTGCTGCTTTAGGGCAAAGGGGCACTGCAGCTGCACTTGGGGGCAGCAGGGCCCAGGACCCCGAGGTGGCAGGCAGAGGTGAGGCGGCCAGGTCGACCCGCGCGGTGAAGCTTCCGGATCACAACACGCCCTTGGCCACCTGTGGTGGGAGGGCTGTGTCCCTGGCAGCTCCATCCCAAGAAATACAGCAGACATGACTCCTGACAGGTGACAGAGCTGGACATCGCCTGTGCTCTCAGGGAAACTGAGGCTGTTATGGAAGGTGCTGAATGGCCCATGCCAGCAGGGACGAAAGGGCCTTTCTGCAAGGCATTTCCGAAGACACCTCCTCAAGCCGGCTCTACAGGTGGTTTTAGGAGCAGGAGGCTGAGGCAGCCACAAGGTGAAGCTCAGGCGTGAACTCCAGGCACCTCAGGTCAGGTAGAGGCCCCTCCAGCAAGGCGCACTCACAGATGACCCGACAAGAAACCCCTCCCTCTGGGAGTCCAGGATCCTCTGCATCTGACCTGCCAGGTTGGAGAGGAGAAGGTTCTGGTCTTTTCCAGGATGCTGACCCTGAAGCCCATTGGAGTGACCTAGTGCTGCTGTCCCCTCTGGCCGCCCACCCCCGACCAGAGCCCACAGCTCCCAAGCGGCCGTCCACCTGTCCTGGCCCCATGTCCTCTGAGCCTCCCTGGCCTGCAGGCCCTCCCCAGCTCCCACCTCGTTGGGCTGCACAGAGCCCAACTGGGGTCCCCTGAGACCTCGGCCCTGCTCTGTCTACCTGACATTCTTAGAGAGACGGAAAGTTCTCTCTTTTTTGGTTTCTTTTTCTTTAAGAGATGGTATAGGGTGGGGGCCTGTAATCCCAGCTACTCTGAGGCTGAGGCAGGAGAATCGCTAACCCCGGGAGGTGGAGGTTGCAGTGAGCTGAGATCATGCCATTGCACTCCAGCCTGGGCAACAAGAGAAACCCGTCTCAAAAAAAAAAATTATTTTACTTTTTTTGAGAGACAGGGTCTCACTCTGTCACTCAGGCTGGAGTGCAGTGGCGCCACCTCCACTCACCGCAGCCTCAACCTCCTGGGCTCAGGCAATCTTCCTGCTTTGGTGCCCCAGGTAGCTGAGATTACAGACACGCACCACCATGCTTACAATTTATGAAAAAATTTTTTTTTTTTTAGTAGAGATGGGGTTTTACCATGTTGGCCAGGCTGGTCTCAAACTCTTCGCCACTAGTGATCTGCCTGTCTCAGCCTCCCAAAGTGCTGGGATTACAGGCATGAACCACTATGCCCAGCCTGTATCTTTTTCTATTTTTTGCAGAAATGGGGCTCTCATGCTGCTCAGTCTGGTCTAGAACTCCCGGCCTCAAGCAATCCTCCTGCCCCGGCCTCCCAAAGTGCTGGGGTTACAGGCATGAGCCACCGCACTTCTGCCAATAACTTTTTAAAGTATCACAGAAAAGTCCAAGGCACATTTTTTTTTTCAGGTGGAGTCTCGCTTGTTGCCAGACTGGAGTGCAGTGGTGCACTCGCTCACTACAACCTCCGCCTCCCAGGTTCAAGCGATTCTCCTGCCTCAGCCTCCCGAGTAGCTGGGATTACAGACACCGCCACCACCCGCCTTTAGCTGGCAGAGGGGCACGGGATTTCGCCATGCTGGCGCAGGGGCTGGCCTCCGAACGCCTGACCTCAGGTGATCCGCCCGCTCAGCCTGCCTCCCAATGTGCCGGGATTACAGGCGTGAACCACAGCGCACCGCCCAAAACACATTTTAATACCAGGCAGGATCCTGCCTCCAGGGCCTGCCCCGGTCTCTGCCTTTCAGCTCCGGGCCTCGCCCACACCCCGTCCCGCTCCAGGCCAGGCCTGGCTCCTGGCCTCTGCCTCAAAAGCCGGCCTGCCCCGTGCCGGCCCTGCCTGCAAGCCGGCTCCCGCCCCGTGCCGGCCCCGCCTCGTGCCGGCCCCGCCTCGTGCCGGCCCCGCCCACCTGCGTGAGCAGCATGAAGCGCGCTTGTCGGCTCGCAGGTTCTTCTTCAGGAACTCCGACGAGTGGCCCAGCGCTGGCACCGCTGTGCATTTTCATGGTGTATAGCGTGGTCATCACCGTCTCCGGGCCGATCTGCACCTCGGCCCAGCAGAGAAACCTGCAGAGCCAACCCCGGTGGCCGTGAGATGGAATCGGCCATGCCCGGCCCCAGGGAGGGCGCCAGAGACCACTCAGACTAGACCTGGCCGCCTGCCCTGAGACCACCTGCAGGGCCCAACGCCCCACATCATCAGGCTCCCCCGAGGAACCTTCCAGAATTAGCCCTTGTCTGTTGCCCTCTGACCTAGGGACACGACTTGGCAAGGCAGTCACCCATGAAAACAAGAGGCTGGGCCGGGCGCGGTGGCTCAAGCCTGTAATCCCAGCACTTTGGGAGGCCGAGGAGGGCGGATCACGAGGTCAAGAGATCGAGACCATCCTGGCGAACACGGTGAAACCCGTCTCTACTAAAAATACAAAAAACTAGCCGGGCGAGGTGGCGGGCGCCTGTAGTCCCAGCTACTCGGGAGGCTGAGGCAGGAGAATGGCGTAAACCCGGGAGGCGGAGCTTGCAGTGAGCTGAGATCCGGCCACTGCACTCCAGCCTGGGCAACAGAGCCAGACTCCATCTCAAAAAAAAAAAAAAAAAAGAAAAGAAAACAAGAGGCTGAACCCATCCACACAGCACACACCCGAAGTGTCTACACAGCCTGTCTCATTCTTCCTGGGATGCCCCAGGAGAGGGCACTGGGAGCTGGGTGTCTCCTCCTTGGGCGCATTTTCCATGAGGAACTCTTGATTCCCCACCTCAGGCCCCACCGAAAACCTCGACCACTTCTGGGTGGGTAACAGAACCCAACACGCTAATTAGGCTCATGGATAATCATGGACGACATTACTGTATGACAGCGAGGGGTCCACACCACACTGAACACGATGCCAGCCAGTGGCCCACACTGAATACAGATCAGAAGTTGGGCCGATCAAAAATAGAAGCAAAGGCCGGGCCTGGTGGCTCACACCAGTAATCCCCACCCTTTGGGAGGCTGAGACAGGCAGATCACCTGAGGTCAAGAAGTTCCAGACCAGCCTGGCCAACATGGTGAAACCCCGTCTCTACTAAAAATACAAAAATTAGCTGGGCGTGGTGGTGGGCACCTGTAATCCCAGCTACTCAGGAGGCTGAGGCAAGAGAATCGCTTGAACCTGGGAGGCAGAGGTTGCAGTGAGCTGAGATTGCACCACTGCACTCCAGCCTGGAGACAGAGCAAGACTCCGTCTCAAAAAAAAAAAAAAAAAAAAAAGCAGCACATGGCCAGGTGCAGTGGCTCACGCCTGTAATCCCAACACTTTGAGATGCCAAGGCAGGTGGATCACTTGAGGCCAGGATTTAGAGACTAGCCTAGCCTGGTCAACACGGTAAAACCCCCTCCCTACGAAAAATACAAAAATTAGCCAGGCGTGGTGGCACACACCTGTAATCTCAGCTACTCGGGAGGCTGAGGCACAAGAATCGCTTGAACCCAGGAGGCGGAGGTTGCAGTGAGCCAAGATCGAGTCACTGTACTCCAGCCTGGGAGACAGAGGGAGACTCCATCTCAAAAAAAAAAAGAAAGAAAAGAAAGAACTTGTCTCCAGCCTGGAGCAGTGGCTCACATCTGTATTCCCAGCACTTTGGGAGGCAGAGGTGAGAGGATTGCCTGAGGCCAGGAGTTGCCTGAACCAGTGTGGGCATAGGGAGATCTTATCTCTAAACATTTTTTTTTTCAGCTGGGCACAGTGGCTCACGCCTGTAATCTCAGCCCTTTGAGAGGCTGAGGCGGGTGGATCATGAGATCAGGAGATCGAGACCATCCTGGCCAACATGATGAAACCCCGTCTCTACTAAAAATACAAAAATTAGCCAGGCATGGTGGCACATGCCTGTAGTCCCAGCTATTCAGGAGGCTGATGCAGGAGAATCACTTGAACCTGGGAGGCAGAGGTTGCAGTAAGCCAGGATCAAGCCACTGCACTCCAGCCATGGTGGCAGAGTGCTACTCCAAATTAAAAAAAAAAAAATTTTTTTTCTCAGGTGGATCACCTGAGGCCAGGAGTTTGAGACCAGCCTGGCCAACATAGAGAAACGCTGTCTCTACTGAAAACACAAAAATGAGCTGGGTGTGGTGGTGAACGCCTGTAATCCTAGGTACTTAGGAGGCTGAGGCAGGAGAATCACTTGAACCAGGAAGGCGGAGGTCGCAGTGAGCTGAGATCACACCACTGCACTCCAGCCTGGGCAACAGAGCGAGATTCTATCTCAAAAAAAAAAAAAAAAAAAGGGAAAAAAAGGTGCCTCTGGAACCCCTCACTGCACAGGAACACAGTTCTAGAAATCTCCACCAAGCCAGGGCCTCTGAGGTGGTGTCAGACAGCGTCTACGTTCTCTGAGGTCCCCCTCCCCGCACCCGGCTCCCCAGCAGGAAGCATCCGGAAGCGTTACTTGAGCAGTGCTAGGAAGGCAGCGGGTTCCACGTCGGGCAGCTCAATCTCTGTGGACGTTGTGGCCATTCCCCCGTTGAACATGGCATCAAAGACGGCGCTGCCCACAGCCAGCACGAACCTGGCACGGGAGAGAGGAGGCCCTGGTTAACCCCATGGCCGCCACCCCATGGCAGGGAGGGCCTGCCCGGTATCCTGGGTGACCACCCCACCAGGGCTCCCCGCCAGCCCCCAGCAGGCATGTGCCAGGCCCCCTGATGGCAGAGGCTTCTGGAAGGGGCCTGGGACAGCAGGAGGGTGATGCAGATGGATCCACGGCAAGGACAGACAGGGCTGGGACCATGCCCTGGACCACACAGGGCCTCACACTCTGCCAGCCCTCACCATCCTCTTTCCTTCCAGGCGTCAGGCACGCACTCATTCACGCATTCCCACATGCATGCATGCATTCATTCCCAGATGCGTTCATTCACTCGCTCATTCATTCACATGTGCATTCACTCACTCATACACATACACTCACTCATTCATCCACACATGCATTCATTCCCAGATGCGTTCATTCACTCGCTCATACACATACACTCTCTCATTCATCCACACATGCATTCATTCCCAGATGCGTTCATTCACTCGCTCATTCATTCACATGTGCATTCATTAACTCATTCATTTCCATGTGCATTCACTCACTCATACACATACACTCTCTCATTCATCCACACATGCATTCATTGACCCACTGATTCATTCCCATGGGCGTGCATTCACACGCTCATTTATGACCCGCATTCATTCATTCACTTTCTCATTCATCACACTCATTCGCTCACTGGTTCATCCAACACGTGAATTTACTCACTCATTCACCCATTGACACACACGTTCATTCATTCCCACATGCACTCATCCACTTATTCAGCCTCATTATTCACTCACTGATTCACACACTCATCTACTCTCTATCACTTTCCCGCTCACGCATTCTCTCATCAGCACACACTTTCCCAGGGAGTCAGCTACAGGCACAGGGCCTGGCCTGAGGGAGACAGACAAGGACCAAGTGGCCGAACAGCCCCCACTGAGTGAGGGAAGAGAGGGGAGCGTGGTCCTGTTCAGAACACAAGGCCCAGGGAAGCCTTGTGGGGTCATCTGAGCCACCACGCCGGTGGGGAAGGGCATCAAGGCCCAGGGAACAGCAGGAGCATGGGAGGAGCGTTAGGAGGCACCAGGGGCAGCCCCAGCTGGGAAAGCAGTGGCTGTGAGGACGCTGTGGGTTCTGCCCCGTGTGGAGCACAGGCTCCCTATGGGACCCACTCAGTGGCTCAGATCCTCCGTATCGCAACAGGCAGGAGGGTGCAGTGGGCACAGGAAGGCTGCTGGTGCCTCTCGAGCCTCCGCAAGAGCCGGCTATGAAGCCGCGTTTGGCCAGGTCTGTATGGGGCGCGGGGGACTCCATGGCTCCCAGGCTCAGGACGCCACTCTATGCTGTCCATGTACGGTCCCCAGTGCCTGCCGCCATGATGGCCTCCCAGGGGGCTGAGACCACACACAGCATAGGGGGTCCCGGACACTCAGCAGGTGCACAGACACTCGCGGGGCGGGTTCATAGATGCTCGCGAAGTCGCGCGGCGGTGCACCTGCCCCAGGACGTGGCGGTCCCTGCGTCACCTCTTCCCCACCTGTCCCCTTCCACGGCTCCCACCACAGCAAACGCTGGCTCTGAACAGCCTCTCCCCGCCCGGAAAGCTCCGGAGCTGCAGGTGGTTCCGCCCGGATGGGACCTGCTTCTCACTCCTGCACGGCTCTACCTCCAGGCCCCGCTGGGCGACCTCCACACAGCTCCGGGGAAAGCCCCCGCTTTCCGGGGAGAAGCTCCTCGCTCTCCTCCCACCACACGCGCCGCCCCCGCAGGCCCTCAGCCCATCCAGTCCAGCCCAGCGCTTGACTGCGCCGGAGAGTCGGGTCAGAAACCAAGGCAGTGACTTCCACACGGACCCCGACCACAGCGTCCACATCCGCCCGGAAACTCGGAATGCGACGCCCCGTGGAAATGGGCCCGTGCTAACACCATGAGTCAGGACGAAGGTGCCGGGGAACGTGGGCCCTAACCAGTGGCTGGTGTCCTTGGAAGGTGGAGACACGGGCCGGGCACGGTGGCCCAGGCCTGTCATCCCAGCATGTGGGAGGCCAAGGCGGGAGCATCGCTTGAGCCCAGGAGTTTGAGACCAGCCTGGGCAACACAGTGAGACCCCATCTCTACAAAAACACTGAAAATTAGCCAGGTGGCTGGGCGCGGTGGCTCAAGCCTGTAATCCCAGCACTTTGGGAGGCCCAGACGGGTGGATCACGAGGTCAAGAGATCGAGACCATCCTGGCTAACACGGTGGAACCCCATCTCTACTAAAAAAATACCAAAAAAACTAGCTGGGCGAGGTGGCGGGCGCCTGTAGTCCCAGCTACTCGGGAGGCTGAGGCAGGAGAATGGCGTGAACCTAGGAGGTGGAGCTTGCAGTGAGCTGACATCCGGCCACTGCACTCCAGCCTGGGCGACAGAGCGAGACTCCGTCTCAAAAAAAAAAAAGAAGCTACGTATTGGCTAGCTGGGCGCGGTGGCTCACGCCTGTAATCCCAGCACTTTGGGAGGCCCAGACGGGTGGATCACGAGGTCAAGAGATCGAGACCATCCCACAACACGGTGAACCCCATCTCTACTAAAAATACCAAAAACTAGCTGGGCGAGGTGGGCGGGCGCTGTAGTCCCAGCTACTCGGGAGGCTGAGGCAGGAGAATGGCGTGAACTCGGGAGGTGGAGCTTGCAGTGAGCTGACATCCGGCCACTGCACTCCAGCCTGGGCGATGTGAGCGACTCCGCTCTCAAAAAAAAAAAAAAAAGAAAAGAAAAAGAAAATTAGCCAGGCATGGTGGTGAGCCACTGCAACTTAGCTACTCAGGAGGCTGAGGCAGGAGGACTGGGCTTGAGGCCAGGACGCAAGACTCAGAGAGCCAGGATTGTGCCACCGCACTCCAGCCTGGGTGACAGAACAAGACCCTGTCTCAAAAAAAAAAAAAAAAAAAAAAAAAAAAAGGGCCAGGGGCAGTGGCTTATGCCTGTTATCCCACCACTTTGGGAGGCCAAGGCAGATCACCTGGGGTCAGGAGTTTGAGACTAGCCTGGCCAACATGGTGAAACCCCATCTCTACTAAAAATACAAAAATTAGCCGGGCATGGTGGCGGGCGCCTGTAATCCCAGCTACTCAGGAAGCTGAGGCAGGAGAATCGCTTCAACCTGGGAGTCAGAGGTTGCAGTAAGCTGAGATTGCGCCATTGCACTCCTGCTTGGGTGACAGACCAAGACTCCGTCTCAAAAAAAAAAAAAAAAAAGAAACAGAGTGGGTGTCTGCATGGAGACAGACACAGCGACTGGAGTGATGCGGCTACAGGCCAAGGACATCTGGAGCCCCCAGAAGCTGGGTGGGGCAAGAGGATCCTCCCTTGAGCCTCCAGAGGGAGCACTGCCCTGGGATGCCTTGATCCATGATCCTGGGCTCCAGGACTGGCAGAGGATGAACCCACTGAGTTTGACCCCCAGTGTGTGGGCATTGGGACTCCCACCTGCCCGTCTGCCCTCCTGGCTGCATCCTCAGCGGCCCAGGCCTCAGGGCCCTGCGCCACCATCACCCACAGCCGGTGACCCAGGACAAACGCTTCCCTCCCACATGATGTTCCAGAAATAGAGTACCTGTGCGTGGGACTTCTCTTTCTTGATTTAAAAATGCATCTTGGTCTCCTGTGGGGAAAACCTTTGAGGAGGGTTCAAAAGCAGAAAGCAGGAGGCACTAAAGTGGGCCCAGCATGCACAGATGGGAATCAGGGAGCCCCCCTGACATGGGCGGGTCCCCAGGCAGCTCTGCTGGTCTCTGAGGCAGAGGCTTCTCCAACACCGAGCCCCTCCCTGGAGACACCCCCATGGGCCTTCCAACCCCCGGGCACCGCAACTGCCTCCTCTGCCCACCGTGAGCACCCAGACCCACTCCTGGCCCAGTCGGCCCCATGTCATGTGTCTGTAACCCCTTCCCCTTTCAAACAAATCGAGAACACACGGCCACACAAAAACACGTCCACAATTGCTCACAACAGCATGATTCCCAGCTCCGAGCAGGGGAAACAACCAGTGTCCATCGACAGACACGGCGCAGCCACCCACACGCTGGAACACGACCCATCCACAAACAGAAACGAGGCTCTGATGCAGGACCTGACACAGATGCACCTTGAGAATGTCACGCTCTATGAGAGACGCCAGGCAGAGAGGACAAATCCTTGTGATCCACTCCTAGGAGGTGCCCAGAGTCCTCAGATTCAGAGAGACAGAACGTAGGATGGGGGACGGGCGTGGTGGCTCATGCTTGTCATCCCAGCACTTTGGGAGGCTGAGACGCACAGATCACCTAAGATCAGGAGTTCGAGACCAGCCTGGCCAACATGGTGAAACCCCATTTCTACTAAAAATACAAAAATTAGCCAGGGCCAGGCGCGGTGGCTCACACCTGTAATCCTAGCACTTTGGGAGGCCGAGGCAGGCAGATCACGAGGTCAGGAGATCGAGACCATCCTGGCTAACACGGTGAAATCCTGTGTCTAATAAAAATACACAAAATCAGCCGAGTGTAGTGATGGGTGCCTGTAGTCCCAGCTACTCAGGAGGCTGAGGCAGGAGAATGGCGTGAACTTGGGAGGTGGACCTTGCAGTGAGCCAAGATCGCGCCACTGCACTCCATCCTGGGCGACAGAGTGAGACTCCGTCTCAAAAAAAAAAAAAAAAGAAAAAAATTAGCGGGGTGTGGTGGTGGATACCTGTAGTCCCAGCTACTCAGGAGGCTGAGGCAGGAGAATCACTTAGAACCCAGGAGGTGCCAGGCACGGTGGCTCATGCCTGTAATCCCAGCACTTTGGGAGGCCAGGGCAGGTGGCTCACAAGGTCAGGAGATCGAGACCATCCTGGCTAATATGGTGAAACCCCATCTTTACTAAAAATCAAAAACTTAGCCGGGTGTGGTGGCACCCATAATCCCAGATACTCAGGAGTCTGAGGCAGAATAGCTTGAACCGTGGAGGCA